TATCATTCTCTTCCTATCTATTTTCAGAAAAGGTTTCAGAGATTTGGTATTTCCCTTCTCTGTGTCCAAAATAGGATAATTCTCAAAGTCACTCTTCCAGTCCATTACAGCTTCTTTCTCTATATCATTCTCATAAGCAACTTTGAGTCCATCTTCAGATCTACAGCATTTTTCCATATTTTTCATGTCTCTCTTATAACCTGGCATTTCTTTAAAGTCCATTTTAGAATCCGTATTCAAGTCATCCTCCACTGCTATATTGTCCAGTGAAATCTTTTCTTCTTCTACAACCTCTGTTAGCCCCAATTTTATAAATAGTTCCTGGTTACATTGATTCCAAACAGCAAAAATTCTTCTTTGGAAGAAGGATACCCATCCATTATGTTAAAAAATTGTTAGCGTCTGTTCCTTCTAACCTTGAAGGCTCTGTCTTATCTTATTTTCTTGCAATTAAATCCAAGTTCGCTTACTGTATTTTCTTAAACATTTAAAATAATCCTTAAAAAAGCTGGTTCAAATCCACCTAGCCTCTTAATTGTCCCAATCAACATTCTTAATTCCCTTTTGCTGTTTCCAAATGTTAAAATATGTCTTTTTGATCTTTAAACTTACTTTGGTCTTCTTTCTCCCAGGATAGTAGGAAATTCTCCAGGTTTGTCCTTCAGGAGGTTTTAAATCACAAATAGGCAGTTTATGATTTTAGTTAAAAGAGGAAGCAAATCTAGTGTCCATTTGAAGGCTCTGCACCATGGCTTGGGCTCAATGTTTCCCTCAACTCCCAGACCACTCCACCTGCTAGAGATTGCTAGATAGCAATCTCTTCACAGGGAGTCTCTGTAAGGAGTACTGTGGGTGATCCTGTTGATCTCCTTTATCTGGAGATGACTCTGAAAAGCTGGACCAAGGCCAACTCCTCTAACTGTCATGGGTGTTGGCTCCACAAAGAATGGAGCTGTATTCAATCAGCCATTTGTTCCCTTTCAATAAGCTTCAGTGAAAGCTTATAATGTACTTTTTAGCAAACACATGTTCATCATTTGTACATAATATTGTCTCAAATTCCATCTTATGTGGTTCAGTTCCAGTTATCTTTTTATCTAAATTAAATCTTTCTCTTAATTGTATACAGTATATGAAAACCATTGAAAACTAAATCCCTCTATGATTAATTGTTCTCTTGATTTCATTTTAAGTTCACTATGTTCCTGAATTAAGAAATCTTGGTATTTTAACCATTTCTCTTAACCCGCTGTTTCTGTTCTATAAAATGCTTCTTGTGCTGAAAATAACAAAGGCATCTTCCAGCAGAGCCTGGGATTATATTTGTTTCATACTCTCCATATGGCATTCCTAACATAATGATTTTTAAAATCTACATTAACTTTAACTTTATCATACAATAAAAAGCCATGCCATCCAAACCTCAAATTATGATCTTCTAATTCTAATATCCTTTTATTTCTCAATATCAACCACTCTTTCATCCAAATGGTTTTGATATTCTTGAGCAGATTTAATGTGAATATACATAAGGATAAACAGAAATTATAAACTGGACTTCCTTTTATTCTCACTGGGGATTTCAATATAGAGTTAAAATATTTGCTTTGAATATATTGGTTCCTCTTAATCAATCATCAACTTTATTTCATCTTCAGAATGTCCACATCAGTGTATGAAAGGTCAAATCTACCTGGTTTTACTCAGATTACTATTGTCCCAACCTCATTTTAATTTGGGTACATTTCCATGTCAGTTTGCATATTTAGCAAAATTGGAGGGAAAAAAAGATGATATTAAAACTGATACTAATTTCGTGGGATAATTTTCTTCCTGTTTTAGCATGCATATTACAACGTGCTCTGTAGATGTTCTTCTGACATACGCACATGCACAATTTGGGATGCAATGTTGCTTTTCAAACTGAATCACACGTTTCTGACAGCTGCAGATTTTGGGCATGTGAGTGTCTTTCTGCCCCTAACAGAGCAAGGATATACAACCTGAGGCTCTAGAGCTGCACATGTTGTGCAAGAACATTGGGACCTCCCCAAAGATTCTCATTTTTAAGTTATCAAAGAGAAGAAGTTATTGAAAACATGAGGAGCCATCATATTAACTATATATAGTTAAATAAACTGCATTCTAATTAGAGGGAAGGGTAAAAAAATCACATTTGCTTTTGTCCTGTCCTGCTTCTGTTTTGGAATGAGGCCCTCTGCATGCTATAAAAAGGGTAAATATGGCCTTTAACCCACAAAAAAAATTGCACTCCTGATAAAGGGGTTCAAGGGATAAATATTGGGTCAGCATGGAAAAGAGTCAATCAGAATTATTATTTCCTTCATTCCTCCAAAGGAATTTTGAGAGCCTTCTTTTGGTTCCTAGTGCTGTTAGTATTTTGGACCTTCACCATCTCAGTGCAGTGCAAACAGTTGCATTCCTGCTTTGAGTGTCTCATGATCCTCTGCTCTCCTTGTCCAAGTTTGTTTGGAACTCCCCAAAGAACTAAAGCCAGACAGAGCTTCCTTGAAGGATAATCTGTTATATCACTTCAGTTTCATTTGATTGTCTCCAACAGGGAACTAATCTTCTAGAGAGTCAGCATTCCCAAAGTGCATGGAATCCAGACCTCCAGACTGAAGGAAAGTAGCTGCAAATATGTAACATTTGTTTGCTTTGGCTTGCTTGCTTGGTCTGGTGGCCTGATGAAGACAAATGATCTTAGAAGACATGTGTGATATCCCGGTCATCTTGTCTGCATCTTTTCATTTCTGATAAAGATAAATTACTGGCTTAGAACATCTAATAAAAATTCTGAAATCCTTAATAAACATGGAATTTCAAAAGCAGCTATAGCATCATGACGGAACATCTCAAATAAGATATTTAAACTGAATACATTGCCAAGTAGCGTTCTCAAAATTCAATTTAAGGCTTCAAAAGATTTTTTTAAAGTTCTTTCAATAGTGCCAAGTTCATTCTAGCTGACAAAATCATGGGAAGCCCAACTTGTCTCCAATGTAGCAGTTCTTTTTGTAAACTGAAACTTTCTTGTAACATAAATTTTTCTTTAGTAAGAAAATCAAAACTATGCTCATGAACCAATCGTTTTCATTTGCACCTTGCAATAAAAAAATTGTATGTTTATTGGACAAGGAGAGGATTTTTTAAACAAAAGAGGACAAAGTGAATATAGAATAAAGAAAATTAACAAAGAAGCTGTTTGTTCAGATCAATTGGCTAATGCTAATTATATATAAAAAAAGAAAAAAAAACCAATGTTATGCAATTACCCAGGAAGAAATTGATGGTGAGACAGAGTGATATGGAGCACATGATAAAACTAAGGATATCTTTTCCCTTTAACATTTCTTTATGTTCCAGTACATTGTATTTAATGACCAAAGTAGCCTGAAAACAAAGATCACTCTTGTTTGAGAATAAACCTGCCTATTCTTAAAATTCTCCTCCCTTCCTTATACATGAGGATATTTTATATATAAGTACCAAATAACTGAGAGCCAGCTTGGTGCAGTGATTAAAGGCACTGGATTAGAAGCTCTGAGACTGTAAATTCTAATCCTGATTTAGGCATGAAATCTGGGTGACTTTGGGCCAGTTTGGGCCAGTTACTCTCTCTCAGACCTAGAAAGAAGGTACAGGAACATCCTAAAAAATGTTCCCTTAGAAACGATATAGACATGTTCCTGTAGCCACAATGAGTCAGGATGGACTCAAAGGACCATAACAACAACAAGTAAATAGGAATTGAGCAGGCTTCAACCCATCTGCTCTGCCCTGGGGAAGTGCAAATGAATTACGTCACCCTACCTCAGGACAGCTTGCATTTAATGCTAGTTTATTACAATGCTCTTGATTTTTTTTTTAAGTTAACCCTATCAGAATTCTACTGTTCCTAATTTTGCCTTAGTAGGCTTTTATGATAAGATCATACATATGGCAGTGTGAGAAGAATTGATGCATCTGGATTCTGCTGTCCATTCTTCACTTCGCAGTAAGTGGGCCCTCACCTGAAGGTTTCTAACCCTTGGTGACCTTTAGTATTACCAGGCTTTATTGCTTCTTACACAGGTCAGAATTTACTACAATGATCAGAAGTAATACTGCAAGGTAGGGGGCAGGGAGATGGGATGGGTTTCATCAAAAAGACAGTTAGGATGAACTAAGTGCTTTCAAGCATAACACATTATTTCATGCCCTTTGTTTTGTTTTTTGTTTTTAATGTGCCAATTAATAAAGGTTTTTCACTTGCTGTGTTTTATTGTGTGGCACCTAGATTGCAAACAAGGACATAAAAATCAGAAGACAGTCTCATTATGTGAGCAGCAACCCCATTGCCAGCTATTAGATTGCTTGCTTTGATCTTGGAAACAAATTGCAAATTCCCCGAGGGACACAGTTCTCTGCTTGCATTCTGTACAGCCTATATAAAAGACCAGTGGGGGAAAAAGATGATCCCATAATTTTGTGCAGTTGTTAAAACTCTGAGAAAAAGTAAATACAGTGGGGAACTGTAAAATGCTAATGCTTAGCTGTGTGTCTGTAACTTTTAGCTGTTACCATCTCAAATGCCAGCATCACCAAGCCTTCCCTGGCTGGACCTTCTGTTCCCTTAATCTTAGTTTTTCAGCTGTGAAATGGAACAAATAATGACCAGTGCAGCAGGACTGCTTTGAGCATGAATTGGGATGGATTTGGACCTCATTCATAGTAATGAACATTCTACCTGTTTATTTTGATTCCATATACTGGTCTCTTTAGTATTTTCTTATGCATTACATTTAAAGTTTTATCATTTGGGCATAGTTAATGTAGTCCTTGAAATTGGTTGCCATATTTAGCCGGAAACAACAAACTATGGTGCCTGGTTTCATAACTGTCCTCTTAAAGGGAAGGAGCCAATGAGCGTGTTACTGCTAATCAGATCTTATGGCTCAATTATGTTTTGCAAATATGTCTA